CAAATAAAACCACAAACCACACATCACTGAACTGGCAATTGAATACAGAAAAGAAACACAAAAGCAATAAAATCCTCAGGAAGGCTTAATTAAAAATAAATGTGTCACGACGCGGCCGGATCAGACCTTCGAATTTTGGGCATGTGGGGTTATTGGTACCATCTGAAAGCTTAATCATTTTTGTCTTGCTTTCAATTAAAACAATACCCATTAATCTCGAGGAGAAGTCAAAATATTTGGGATTCAAGGGGCATAAAAGGCATTGAGCCAAAAAACAAAATTTTCATTAAAATTGTTAAACGCTAGCAGAAAATTGCCCGCTCCTTCGATTTCACTATTTTGACAAGTGCCTGATTTCACCACAATGCCTCACATTATTTGTTTGGCAGAGATGTGAGTTTGAAAGTGGGGGTTTTCAGTTTTGTCACATTGTCAAGTCCTACTGTCAGGTGATTACCCATGTTAAAATCATCGGTGATGTTGTCTGGTATGAATATATATATTCATTGTGTGTGTCATGAGTCGGTTGTCGTTATTTTTGTAATGAGAGACTACTGGATAGAGTGTATTCTGCCTCTTACAGAAGTGGGCAGACTTCACTACATAAAGGTAAGCTGTTTTTTCTATTCTTGGTAAAGTCCTCAACAAGAAGGACCTCATCTGCAAATGAAAGGAGTGGACAAATGATGTACAATGTACACTTCTTTTCTAGCATACATCTAAATTGCAAAGGGGTAAAAAAAAGTCTGTGAACATTGTTTCATTGGCCTTATACATGATCTCACCTGCAAAGGAGTAGAAATTAACATGTAGGTGAACTCTTCATTCTAGATCTAGTATCAAATGCTTTAAAATTGAAAAATATTTAGAAGAGAAATCTATAATATCTATGGCCTGCAACAAAAAAGCAAAAAAAAAGTAAATAATTTTATAACCCTAAGTCCAAATTCCACCAAGACAGATTGTATCTAATAGGGCCTACAGTAGCTTAGACCCTAACTAAGCAACACAGAAAGAAGAGACTGAAATTTCCCTCCAAGCTTTAGTTAAAAATAGTAAAAAGTGCCATAAAAATAACCCACAAATGATCTAGATCTAGAAGAATGTAGATAATGTGGCCTAGATCTAGATCTAGCTCTATTTTTCACCTCAAAAGTCTGTCAAGTTCCAATATTCCTCCTTTCAAATCATCAAATTGCTTTTTTTTTGTTAAAGTAGCGAAATTACATTAAGATCAACAATAAATAACCCACGCGAAACTGAAACACGCAAACACATTCTTTCCGACGCCATGCGATGTCACGTCCTTCCGAATCCGTCACGAAACTTCAGTGCATTTTTTAACATCAGCACTATCGACTGCGAATGTCCATCCGAATCTAGAATGTTCGACCCAAATTGCGCATTTGCAATGTTCTTTCCATCGTAATGATTTACTATTCCCTTTATTTACTCCATTCTTGTTTTTTTTCATCTAGTCTTATATCAAAGTTGAATGAATAAACACGAAACAGTATCAGAAACTCCGACTCGATAAGAAAATGCAGAATATTTACGCAAAACTAACATTCTTGTCGATCGTCATTAGGTCGATCGCCATCGGATGGACAACATTCTAAACCCGATTGCGGACGAACCGTTCACACAAGAAGTCCAGACCAGCAGCGAATATAAAATATCCGTCCCCGCGATTACGGGAACAAGGAAAGAAATAGAGTTTCCGTCACGTGGTATCGATAATCCCCGCGACACCCCAGGGTACAAGCGGAAGAAAAAAGAAAAAAGTAAGGTATCGATAATAGCTTTCTTTGTTCGCGGTCGATCGTCATTTTCTGTCGGACGGACACGGTCACGTGAGATATATCGGCCCATAATTTCTTAACCTATGACTAAAAAACGAACTTTTTTCGACTTACACGCTCAGAATAAGTGTTAGTTTCACATGGGGGCAAGTTTTTCACAGATTTCATATAGAAAGGTAGGCTTAGAAGGCATTTTGAGAGCATCCTAATTCAGATGGACAGGTGTGATAAAAATACCCCCCTATTATCGATCCCTAGCCTAGGTCTAAGGACATGTAGGCTTGAGATTTGCTGTTGTTACAACTTTTCAAGGCTATTTTCCAAATTCTACATAACATTTTTGTGGAAATATGAGTTTTTGGGCTTATCCAGATGAGCTATCTGACTAGACCTAGAAAATGGGAAACGGTGTCCTTCTGAAAAGTGACGATAGACAGCCTAAGATCAGTCATAAAAAATGAACAATCAAAAAATCAACAAATTTTAATGGTTTTCTAGTTTATTTGAAGCAAATACAACACAAACACAGTTTGAAAAATTGTTTATTTCAACAAAACATAAACTTATAGGCATTGAAACATCTCACCACCTCAGTGCGCATAAAATTGTGAAACCTGCCATGTGACCCCGCACGCGTGGTACACTACAGTATAGAGCCGACTCGCTCGCCGCGGGGGCTGGTGCGGCGCCGGCCGGGTCAACGCTCGGTGTTTTTGTCGAAATAACAACAGATCATCGTGTTTGAGGCGATAAAATACAGATTTATAATGATCTCAGTCTTGAAAAAAATTAGGTTCCATATATTTGTTATAGTGATTGTACTCTGTTAATGTGGAGATGTTTACTGCTCTTGGTACTTTTTTATGGTCTGTCAAACATGGGGTTGCAGCCAGTGACTGACTTTAACAAATTTGATCAAATTTGAAACAACTACAATTTTTTTTTTAATTGACGGAGAGGTTAAAGAATGGTACCAAAATGCTCAGTGGGTATATGCCTTTCAAATGGAACAGATAAATTTGGCATACAGTTACTTTGAAAATTTAGTTTCTGGCACCTAATGAAAGAATATTCATTGTTGAAATTTTACAGAGTAATCAATTTGCTTTGCTTTGCATTCAAAAAAAGAAGAAATATTGAACAACACAAGCTGAATTGACGTTATAGAGAGACTTTCTCTACGTACCCCACCAATTTGAAGGTGGAGAATAAAAAACTTAAGTTACATACAATTACAGAGTTAAAGTGCTGTAATTATGACTGTCATCAATACTCACATACTTAAATGAAATTATGACAAACTGGGGCCTGTAACAAACTGGGCAGCCTCTGTAATTGTAATGTTTACTGTATCAGAAAATTCTGAGAAAAGGCTTCTATAAAACGTTCATCTGCACTAGCAAAAGGCTTAACGATGGCTTACCTTAAGAAAACTTCCTCTTCTGTTGGTTTTCTCAGTTGTTTCAGTTGCTTTTTCGTTGCAATATCAGCAATTGTCCGTGTATTTACGTCCTCCAGCTCTCGCGACATACTGATGTCTTCTCGGCGATTCGTCTTGATGCGAACAGTGCGATGACCACTTCGCAGAGAATCGCCATGCTGTTGTTTCTCCATCTCAAAATACAAGTTTAATGTTCCTCTGTGTGTTTTTGTACTCTCTACATTAAGCTGAGGAAATGCTAAAAGATTGGTGGCTTTAATATGAAACCCCTACTTGGGTTATACCGTTGCGGCGCTTGAAGCCGCCATGTTGTTTATAGGTTGACAAGCAAACGTAATCTCGCCGTCTCGCGAGATCTTTTCTTGAGCGTGTCATCGTCCATTCGCTGGGTTTTTCTTCAATAAAATAACCATTATTATTATTACTCGACCCTATTAAATAGAAAACTTGAAAGTTTGGGCGACAGAGAAACATTAGGATAATAATACGGTAGCCTACTATATAGGGTCTAAATGTAGATGGGGTTTGTGCTATTAGAGTGCCGATATTTGCTGTGGGGGGACATCGTGTGTTATTGGGGATTTTAAATCAATACTTCAGAAAGTATATTGTGAATCGGTTGCTATGGAAACGGCGGCCATGTTGGATTTTGTTGTACCTTTTCAATCCCATTTTATTTCCTTATTTATTAACCAATTCACTTCTAATTTGGCATGCCAACAGTACATATGTAGCTCTTAAATTTAGCTTGTTGAATTTTTTATATATGCTTTAGTTTTTATTTTATGACATTTACAATTGAGATGTTGCAAAAAAAGTGAAAAAAAATGGAAAATTTATCCTTTCTAAGCCCATAAATCAAAAACTACTAAATTAATCAAAAATTCAACAAGCCAAAATTTAGAACTAGGTGTTGTTGATATCCTGTGAAAGTTACATTAAAATTGAATAAGAAACAGAGCAGAAAAATGGGATAATATGTGAAAAAATAGAATTGTGAGAAAACAGCCGATACAGGTAAGAAAAGGCTAGACAACATGTGCTTTCGCCGAAAAACCTGACCTAAAAACTCAGCGTTAGGGTGTAGCAAGGCTTTCATACGTTTCTGGATATTGTTCAGGAAGTGTCCAGGCACTATAATATGTAATAAACCCAATTTACAAAATTTGACCCCCAAACACGATTTCTAGGTGCCCCACCAGCCCTTAAAGAGTTTAGATAAAATTTAGAGCATCCGAGCGGGTAGATGAATGGAGAACCATGATCACAGATGTCTGTTCCAGATCTGGCACTTTATGATGATAATGGTAATAATAACTACATGTACGCCATGCCATAATTTATTATTATCAAATTATTATTGATCATCGAAGGTCTGTCTGGCGCTTTTTGATGATAATAATAACTAGCCTATGTGCGACATGTATTACTACCGATACTGCCACTACTACTAACAGGAGTAGTAATAGTAGCAGCAGTTGGAGTAGTTTTTTTGTGAACATTCTGCTGTCTTTTTATGTTAGTACATGTACTATCATGAAAACATAAAAATACAGTGGAAAGACAACATCACTAACTATTGAGAAGTAAAGAAAAAGAAGGCAAGCAAGTGAATACCAGTCATCTATTCATGAGCGGTGAACCAACCTGCTCCATCATCATGCATTCATTTCCTGATTGCGAGTCAGGACCCATGTGTATGCGTGTATATACTCAGTTGATAGACCCACAACATGCCAAAACTGAAAAGAAACTACTTAAGTTTGTAGTCGTTTACTAATCCCAATATAATAATGATTTCTCTGTTGCAAACCTATTATATCACTCGCTCCATTGTCATGAACCTGTTTTGTTATATGATGTTTAGCACCATGCACATGATGTAGACCTACTGTTTGTCTCAATCATGTTTCAACAATTTTCTCAATTTTATAGTTAGTTTTAGAAGAAAGAGTTTTACGGCGCTCGCAACTGCATAAGGTCATATGAGCACCAGAAGATTAGAGGTGTTTCAAGAGAGTAACAAACACAAAAAAGAAGAAGGATAGATAAGAACGATCGATGTTTCATAGGAAAGAAGAAGCAAACCACACCAGAGCACCCGCCAACCACCCACTCAGTCTGAAAAGGTTCATGTTGTGGGTTTTGCCATGAAGGTCTTCAACTTCATACTCAACCTCTTCAGTTTTGAGTAGAGAAAACAAAATACATGTACCATGGCATCTTTAACATGTACATATGACAGCAAATGTTTTACCTACTCCACCAACAGACTGACACAACAATTTAGACCATCGATTATTTAAAAGGTAGTCTTCAGCTAGGAAAAGTCAAGAAGTCTACTTTTTAGTTTTATTAAGTGTTTTATGACACGTGCAACACACAATAAAGTCATGTAAGTATAAGTGTCTTAGATTAGAGGAGTTACAAGAGAGTAAAGGTCTAGTTGTTCCCGCATCCGATCCGGACATTGGGGATTGCCTTGTTAGTGAGACAACTTCCTGGGCCTTTGGCATGTTGTGGTAGGGTGGCCATTTCCTTTCCACGTCGCCTTTACTTCCCCAACTCGAAGTCAGGTACCCATTACTGCTGGGAGGGCAGGAGGGGGCGAAAAAAATCTGTGTCCGAACCGAGGCTCGAACCCGGACTTTCCGCTTCGGAGGCGAGAGCACTAACTGCTCCGCCACCGTACCTACAAGAGAGTAACAAACAAAAAACAGGAGGAGAGATCAGGACGATAGATGTTTGATAGGAAAGAAGGAGCAAACTACACCAGAACACCCGCCAACCACCCAAAAGAGGTCTACTCCTTACACCACAGTTACAGAAGCTGGTAGAGTGTACACATCCAAGTCCTTCTTTTATCAGAAACAGTCCGTCCACTTGTTTGACTTGGTGTGAAAACAGACAGTGGAGTTCGCTGACTTACACCCAAGTTCTGTGGGACCACAAGATTGTCTTCGGTTTATTCTGGTTTTCAGTTTAGAGAGGCTGCTCAAATAGAAGGGTAAAAATTTCTTTCAGATAACCGATAACCATTGTTTTCAGATTACCCATGATTGGTTTAATAAAAAAGCAAACTTCCCTGTATACATTTCGCTCATTATAGCAAACGATAACAAGAATACTGAAAAGATGAAGAAGCAAACCACAAAAAAGAGCCCACAAATGCAGCCTAAAGGCTTGGTGCTCACTTCCAACCTATCAAGAACAAAAAGTAAGGACAAATTATTATTCACAGTTTTTCAGAGAAAAACACTCTTCATAATTCAAGCCACCAAAAGCTAACAACCAAACCACACAATTAGCAAGAAAGGCAAGCAGATTACTCCAACCAAGGACAACATGTACAAGACTCCTAGTTCATTGTCAAACTTATCATAAACCAATAAAAGCTTGAATTTGATCTGACTTCATATGGGAACAACAAGTCCCATGATCAGAAGCGAAAAGAAATTGTGGATGTTATAATTAAAAGCAAGTGCCTGTGTCTGTGAGAAAGATTTCCATTGAAAACAGAGCAACACACTGACACAATTTCACCACCACAGCAAACTTTATAGAATATAATGCACGTAGAGCCAGACAGGGGTTATAGTATAGTCTGCAAGGAGGAGGACTGCAACTGCAACATAATCAAGAAAAACTGAATGGAAATAACAGAATTCAACCCGAGATAGCACTGCATTTGAACTTGTATTTAAGTTTTGTTTCAGCTAAAGAGGGGCACATTGACACAATATGGTAACTTTGAGAAGGGAAAATTCACAACAGACACATTGAAACACAAGTGGGATAGTCAATCATTTAATGTGCAATGTACTAACACAAGTAAAACAAATACAGTCTGAGCACAAACCATCTGACTTACGAACAAGAAAAGACCAAAAAAGTTTCAACTTCCACCTCAATTTTATTTCTTCAGTTGGCAGTGACAATGTAGGAAAGCAAAAACAGTAGCATGAGTTCAATTTTTTCAATGACACAAATTCACCAGTGTCAAGCTTTGAAAAGACATGAGTACAATATATCTGAATTATCAGAAGAAACGACAAAACCTTTCACTATCTCTACATCCCTCAGAAGAAACGACAAAACCTGACATGGTGGGCTACAAGTACAATTTAATATTACGGCTGGGCACCGTGGTGAAAGCAAATTTCAAATGGCATTTACACAATTCAAACAATAATGAAAAAAATAACTAATACCAAAAAAGAAGGGAGAAAGAGAAATTGCTTTAGTTGGAACAATAACAAAATAGGGACGCATTATATTAGAAACTGCAACAAGGTTACCAAATTTGAATAAAAAGTATTTTTCATCTACCATGTGTTTCATCATTTTATTTCAAATTTGTTTGTCAGTTTCAGTAAAGAGAAACATCAACAAAATAATAGTCATTTAGTGCTGGGGAAAAAAGAAAGACAGATAGACAGAAACAACTGAGGGAAGGTAAAGAAGTAACACCTACCAGTAGTGTTCTCCAACCAACTTCGTTTCAAATTTCAACAGTTGACAGCAATGTCTGACAGTATAATAGAGCAAGCAGGTGTTGATAAACACTGAATGCGATAAACCATTAACTCATGTGCAGTAAACAATGAAAAGGATGAACAATGAGCACAACATATACGATGACCACAATGGAAAAACAATCCAAGTCACATTTTCAGGTTCAGAAAAAAATCAAATCTCAAAATCAAAACACACTGGACATCAGTCACAGTAGTCTCCGCCTAAACGCACGCCATACAAAAGCAGGCTACGCTAAAACGCAGGCTTTCATCATATGACGGGTTTTTTACTATATAATTTAGACATACAAACGCACGGTCACTCCCTCTAAACGCATGCTCTGATCCGCGAAACACGCCGACAGGCAAAGCTTGACAAGGGAAAACTTTCGCTGCAGCCTACACAGCTTGTATATAAGCCTAGAAAACTGGACATTTGGTGAGACTGCCCCTCACGCTGGACAAAGAGAGTGACAGACTTTGTTTTCACACCCAACTTTCCATAGACACATAGGTCTAGGACTGGTCGGTGAAATGTTGGGGGGTTGGGGGACTGAAATGTGTTTTGATTGGTCAAACTGCATGTAATGCTTAGTTAGACCCGAGACCAAGCAACGTAAACGCTTGGTCACTGGTTAAACCTAGGCCTATTATGCGCAAAACACGTGAATGCTGTAAAACACTAGATAGGCCTCTATAGGATTAAAGATTAGTTAAGTAAACCTAATCAGCTGCGCTCAAAGAACTTATAACGCAATTGTTCAACGAATCACAAGAGAAATGTTTCTCTGAATCCAGATATCTATGATTCTGATGTCGTCCATGAATTTACGGTTGGGGGTGGTCGCTTGGAAAGTCACGTGGCCGTGCCATCATCTCTACGACTATCACCAACAGTTTCCTCATAGGCCATCTGTTCCGGACATTTTGTTATGCATATCATTACATTGAGTGTGTCTTTCTTCCCCCCATCTAACGCCTTTGTATTTTTTAACCGCAGTCAGGAAATCCTTCACAAAACAGTCACGTGTCGTCACATTATCGACCAAAGTGACCCCCACCCCCAAGGGAGGTCACAGGAATATCTAGGCAATGAGATGACTGCGTCCCTTCCTCCCTTTGCACAGGGGTTCATGTAAACGCACGCTCTGTATTAACACCCGTTAAAGGCCCTCTCTAGCACCATGCGTTTAGGCGGAGACTACAGTATTTCTCTCTATCTTATCCTCTTATTGAAAGGTCTCTTCCTAACTCAAGACTGAGTCTGTTGTTCCATTTGAGTTTTTGAGAGTTAATTATAGTGGACATAATAATGCTGTATGCAATAACTTCCAAGAGTTCACATTATGACTGGATAGTAAATTCCATTGTAACCATCGTTACGTATCAACAGGAGAAAAGCTAAATAATGCTGGGATGATCAAACTGCACGGGTCACAAAGTCAAGGCCATGCGTATTATATCTCATGTGAAAAGTTGGCAATAACAAAACAGGACTCATTCTCTTTCTACACTAACATTCTCTGACACAAGAGACCCTTTGATAGGAGGAAAACACACTTACATACACATACACACAGAACCACACACACATCTATTTCACAGACTGTAGCGTTTCTACAAAGGCTTGAAGATCTGCGAAGACATTTTGAAGTTCAGCTCGTCCAAAATGAAAGAGAACTGCTGTAGCTTCTCCTGGGAGAAATTGGCATACAGGTCATCCAGCTCTGGGAGGACCTTGGCTTCTGGGGACATATGGATAATTTTATATATGTAAATAAAATCCTACTAGAATTTCATAATGCGGGGAAATTGTGTTTATTTGTTTGAGGGAGGAGGTGGACATTAGCACGATAACATATGTCTGTCATTTAGTGCAAGAAAAAAAAAGGAAGACAGAAAATAAAACAAGCAAGATCAATGAATACCGCCTTCAAACCACACAGGTTGAAGTTCGGTGGGAATATATAGGTACATGTACAGTCGAACCTGCCACTTTCCATTCCACCCCGTGCGTTTTTTTCTATATAATTTCACTGTGTAAAATGGCCATCTGTCCAACGTGGCCGCGGCCACCATATTTTGACCCCTATCACACCAAACAATAACATCTGTCTCAGATGACCACCTTAGTGACTTCATAGCGTTTTGTCATAAATCAAGCATTGGCCCCTGGTGTTGAGGGCAAGCCGTCATAATCAATAACCTGTCGTTGTTGTTAGGTAGTCCCTCCAACCGATCATGTTGCGTTGGCCCTTCCTACTGTTGACCAATAGGTAACAAATTTTCAGCTGCTGGTGAGGTAATCCTGTGATTCCTCATAACCCATAAGCCCTATCCAGAACTCATTTACAAATCGTAAGTGAGATGAGTGGTCACTGTTTACCCAGTCTGTAACAAAGTAACAATGGACGTCAACATGAACTTGCGACAGAAGCGTCACTCGTTCGTTCTCCGAGTGGTGGCGACGCATGTGTTTGTTTTAACATGGCATTCGGTCTTACACGTCTGACACTTTCATTTTACTGTCACCATTGCACAAAATCAGCAACAAAATTTTAAAAAAGCAAACAAAAAAAAACCCAACGAAAACAACAACAACAATGTGGCTACCTTCGGTTGGGACCTCAGAAGGGAATGGTTTGTTTTCTTCATCTTGATCAGTCCTGCCTGAGACAGCCACTCTTCTCCTTACAATGGGAGGCCGTACTCTTACACAGGTTTGACTGTATCTCAAAACTAGAGACAGTTTATGTGTAAACCCTTGGGGCCCTGCTTCAATGAGCCTACAGGGTCTAAGCTCCTGTGCATCTACTGCTAGATATAATACCACATAACACCACTACTACACTGTACTTTTAAGAGTGTATTTGGAGCACAGAAGTGTTAATGTAGTCACATTAAGGCATGTGATGGGGTCCATCATGCTGTCGCTCTGCACCCTGGGTCTCCACAGCGTACAAGACCTGGGCATCTGAACTTTCCTAGAGGGCTGTCATAGTCTAGAGGCATGATGTTCGCCTCTCATTAATAGGTCCTGGGTTCAAAATATCGAAAAGAAAATATTCTCTTTTCACCTTTCTAATCATGTTCTGTCGTCTGCTTTCGTCTCCACTTTGTGCTCCCTCCCCCTGTGGGCTCCTGACTGTTTCTACTGCCTTTCTAATGCTACTCCTTGGCTCCTTCTTACTGCTGTCTTTCAGCCACACCCCTGATCTTTAGGTAGGTAAGATCGAACATCTAGCCTTCTCAGAAAAGTGGGGGAAAATCTTGTAGGTCTCGTACACAAGTTCGGTACATGAAACATCTTTTGATGGTCTTAAAATCGATAAGAGTAGGCTTTAGCCGCCACGCCGGCAAAATTCAAAATTCATTCCTTCCAAACTGAATATGCTGAATGTGTCCTCCGCGCTCATATGACAGTCTGCAGTTGCGAGCGCTGTAAAACACTTACCAACTTTTTAAAAAAAAGAAGTCAGGGAAAGCTGCTTCATTTTCATCAATGCACACAGAAGGAAGATACAACTGGGTAGATACTGTATCATCTTAGATAAATACAGAAGTCATTGTAGTATTGTAGTCACAAATTTTAAAAAACAACTATTGGGAGCATTTTGAAAGCACAAAATAAATGAACATCTTTTTAAAGTGTAACCCACAAAAGCTGAAGAGGCAAACTTTGCTTCTGGGAAGAACAAGAAATAGAGCATTCAAGACTCAAACCTTCCCTAGTCCACAAAAATAAGAGGACACCCCTTCTCTATTGGGGGGGGGGGGGGGGGGGGGAGAAAGGGAGACAATCTGACAGGGTGTGTGTGTGTGTGTGTGTGTGTGTGTGTGTGTGTGTGTGTGCAGGTGTGTTTGTCATGCTTCTGAAGCTCAAGGTGAAAGAAAGAAGTCACAAGTCACTGCCACATGTCCAGTATCAAACAGCACTGAAAAAGTAGATAGACTTTCCCCCCACAAAAAAAATTGCACATTCAACCAATGCAAAATACACACCTTCTTCCTCCTTCTTTTTCTCCTCCTTTGGCTTACGTGGTATACCCGTAGAACCCTTAGGCCTTCCTCTTTTCTTTTTCCTCTTTAACTCTTTCTCCTCTTGCTTCTGGAAATACAAACAAATACAGTGATGAATGATGGCAGCAGTGAAAGTAACTTATTATTCGTAACAACAGGAAAACTATTCTAACTAAATGAATAAAGCATTGAGCAACACAATTCCTAAAGCGAACATTACTTTGTCCAAGTTGGTTAAATGGTAGCCTTTCACAAAAACGAACCACAAGCCACACTTTTCCCATAATTTAGTCCTACACCATGCAAAAATCCAAGTCAACCTCCTATCTCAAATATTCTAAAACGATTTCCCGGGCACTATATTATTCATATATTTCAGTTTCAAGTCACAAAAAGAAATCTTACAACACAAATGCAAAGAGACTGCAAAAAATTTTTTAAAACAATTTATTTGAAAAGAGAAAATTTGATTGATTGACTCATTTGTGAGAAGCCTAGATCGACATATCATACGTGTATCTCAAAGAAAACTGTTCTTTTCTCTGTTTTGTTAACAGTACAGAAAGATGATGTCCCTTTGCAGTGTCACAAACACAACCCCGAAAGAACTTGCATACCTGCCAACATTGCCTGGGCCAAAATCTGTAGTAGTTGACACAAATTTTTGGACAAAAATTTGTAGTTGACCTAAAAAATCTGTAGTAGGCTATATTACCACTTGCTGCATACTTAATTGGGGACCCTTATTAATATTTTGACCCACACATACATGAGTGTGTTTGCGACTTCAAACAAATGTAGAAAATGACAAAAAGCAAAAAACAAAAATTAGCAATTACAATGAAAAATTAAATTTTTATCCAGCTTAAATGAAAGAAGAGTAAATTCTAGGAACTGTGGTTTTTAAATTTCAAAAATCCATTCATAAATAAAAAAGTTATTAGGATTTTTTTTTCTCAAAATTTTGGGGGACTTTCACATGAAAATATAGCCAAAAAGTGGGACGTTTCTTGATGTATTTTGAGAAAAAACTGTTCATAAGTCAGTAATGAGTTGAAGTATATTATATGAATGAAACTTGGCATCCTCAGGTGACTTTTAGTGCAGAATCTAGTTCTGTTATCACTTTTTCGAAGTCTATCTTTGGATCTTCAAGACTAATATTAAATTTGCATGAAAAATATGTTGAATTGCGCGACATCGCTTGAACTGTGGCCGATCACTCCTCTACACCTAAGCAAAGCAGTATCGGGAAAACCCGCAATGACGTCATTGGTAACCTGTTTAGTTTTAGCAGTTTTAACATTGTGTTACTGTAAAACTCTCTGGTTTTAGGCAGTCAATCACATGCCGCCTGGCGATCACGCGCCTCTTGCATGCCGGCAACTCGCGTGTCGGGTCCGTGATCTAGTTTCCAGCTCTAGTGTTTTATCAACGGATGGGTGGTAATTTTAAATTGGTACGTGAAGTGCAGGCCTACTACACACAAAGATCTGAAATTTTACAGCAATAAAGAAGACAAGTGGGGCGCTTGTCGGTGGCTTATCTCTCAAAATCGGTGGATTGGCAGTTAGACCAAAAAGTCGGTAATATACCGATTTTTTTCTGTAGGGTTGGCAGGTATGCACTTGATTCTATGGAAATTTCTTAGTCCCCCTCTCTCACTTTGTTTTTTCATGATCAACCAAAACAAGTCTGAACATTCATTTCAAAACCTACTGGTTTTCTTGCTCTGAAAGATCTCGATGCATATTCCAGCTCTAGGGAATTGAAGTAGTCTGGGCGCATGCGTTTCGTGCGAAATCTGCGACCAACTTTATCCAGATTACTTTCAGAATCTGCTGCAGCTGTTGATGTGCTCGCTGGGGAAAAAAAAAGACAACAAAGTACTAATTACTACACATGTACATGAGAGAACATATTATTTTGCCTACATATTAGAGTACCTTTCCTGTCTCACTACTTCTCTGTTAGAACTGGACACTCTACACCACCCATCAACAACTGATGACACGACACTGAATATGTACACAGCAGTGTCTGTCTCACAGTAAACCCCCTGAGAAGCAAGCCTAGCCCATTTTCGAGGGGAAAGGGGGTAACACACACACACATACACTCACACAACACACACATACCCGCCCACACTTCCTTAACCACAGAACGTAGTGATGTTGTTACTATTGAAAGCGAGAACATAGATTTAACTAGAACAGAGCATCTCCTTTCAATTTCAAGTGAGCCAATGCTCCATCGTAGGGTGGTAATGTTACAGTACACAGTTGCCGAGACTTATTTCCCCTACTGGGACTCTTGAAGGAAGGTGGCTCTTGGTGTCAAGAGTTTGATCTGAGCTCCTGCATTCAGTGCTGTGTGTATTTTTTGCATGAGCAGGAGCTGAGAGGAGATATATATGAGAAGAGATGAAAGCACACAGAAATTACAGGCCAGTCTCTGTGTTCACACTGTTATTAAATAATTTAAAAATTGTTTTTACAAACAATATGAAGCAATCAAAGTTTGCTGCTAGAAGGAAAGGCAGCTGTTTAAGAGGATTATTAGTAGGAAAGTTCTATGACTATTACACAAGCAAAGGCATTGTTATTTGGAGGAGGTTGCTCTGATCTAGGCTGTTAAGTGGTGACCACTGTACTATATTCAAGGCACTACACTTCCTGTTATTGACTGCCCCTGACTAACAAGAACATTATGTACACAGTAGTCTCCGCCTAAGATCCCACCGCTTATGATCCCAGTTCGCTTTAGATCCCGCTGTTTTAAGAAAACATAGTTTTTTCCCCAAACAAAAGTCAACCCTAAGATCTCGCTCTGATTTACTCAGAAGATCTACATTCGGCTAAGATCCCCCATTTCAGATCATAATCTATTTAACAAAAACCAGGATGGGCTCAGCCAATCAAAAGAGCGAAAAGATGAGACCATTGAACTGCCTGTCGCGTCAAAGATCAGCTACTCTCGTGAATGTGATCACATAAGCGTTGTAAAACTTGATGAAACGAAACGCTACAATGTTTGCTCCAGACGGAACCGAGGTGTGAACTGACTGACACGTTTGTTGTCCCCAAACATCGCACTCGCATCTGAGCTCTCCGCCTAAACTTATATCACTCACTGGGTGGGTAGGGCCTACAAATAAACAGATTCAAACAGACTGGACGAACACAATCATATTTGTACCGAAAGGTATCAAATATGCAGTAAGAAAGAAAGAACTAGTTTTGTACCCATTTACAATTTAAATAGCAAAAACAATTATAACACAATCCATGTGGCCATCTGCATCAGGAACTGAAGACTACACAAGGCCAGAACGTAGATTGAAACAATTGAGCTTTTAATTCTGTTTTAAACTTTGACAAAGTTTTGACCTCCCATAAAGACTGGCAGAGATTTTTAAAGAATAAAAGCTTAACTGTAACAAGCATAGCTGTTAAAGTACTTTTAAAAAAGGTACTTAAGTACAAATTTAAGTACAATCTAAAATATGTACTTAAGTACAGTAAAAGTACTTTCCTGTAAAATGTACTAGAGTACAAGTACTTTTTTTAAAAGTACTTATGAGTACATTTTGAGTACTTTCTGCTAATATGCTAAAACACTTCAGTGCTAATGCAAAACATCATATTGTCCAGTATATTTGACAAATTAGGCAATATATTACTAAAAAAGTAAACAGTATACAAAGCATTTGAATATATATACGCACTGAGCGTAGGTGGAAATGGTCCGTGAAATTGAAAAAAAACCCCAAACAAACAGACGCAACTAGTGAGTAAGTGATATTATGAATAGAACTTGTTTGAGCAAGTCAATGGGATCAAATGTAAGTCAGTCCAAGAGGTCAGAAAGTAGGAAAAGTATCCAAATTGGAAAATGTAGAGACAAAGTTGCTCTTAAGGAAACATAGAATTGATGAAAATGGCCAGAAAAGAAATTGAAAAGTCCATTGAATTCTTCATTAACAACTCCTCAAGAAATCAAGGTAGCCTTTAAGCACAACCGCAAAAAAAAGTTTAAAAGAAATTTAGGTAGTAGCCTAAAAAATTGTTAGATATACACATTGAGAACTCAGTTTCAGTTTCAATTGATTATAATGGTAAGACAGATTTTAGTCACACTGTGCAGTCCACAGCGCCCACGGCAAACCAAAATACATGTAGTTTCCTAGAGTCTAGTAAGTGTAGTGTAACCAAAGATTCTCTACTACAGTAGTCTCCCCCTAAGATCCCAGTGCTCGGAAGCAAGGGAAATACAGGATCTTAGCCGACGAAGCCAAGGAAGAATCTACAGTGACCCATGAGCTGACGTGACCCCTGGGTGGGTTTATGACATTTGGCGAGCAAAGAGTGGTAAACCTTTTTGACCAATCACAGTGGCATGGTGGCATGATGCATGCCATATATACACTTATTAGCCTATCCTATCTTGAGTCTCGAGATCTTTATCTACGTTTATCCAGTTGCCCTTCCCCTTTACCTGTCCAAATATTTGAGCCTTCCATTTCTGATTGAGTCCCCCCGCCTTTGTCATTACGCACAATTACGTTGTGATCACACCAATTAAAATTCAGGCTGTCTCACAAATTCGGGAATAGAGAAAAACTGCCTTCAATGGTCAGGGAAGAGTCCACAGTTCAAAGTGATCCTGCCTGTAGTGAACTTGAAGTTGTAGGCCCTACCCGCCCAGCGAGTGATGTAAGTTTAGGTGGCGAGCTCAGATGCGAGTGCCATGGTTGGGGAAGTCAACGCATCGGTCAGTTCACACCTTGGTGTTGTCCCATCTGGGGCAAACATTGTACTGTTTCATGGAGTTTTACAACGCTTGTGATCACATTCTCGAAGTGGCTGATCTTTGACGCGATGGGCCGTTCTTTCTCAAGTTTTAACTCTTGGTCGATCGGCTGTGCCCGCCTGGGTGTTTGTTCCGTAAATTAGGATCAGAAATGCCGGCACTTACCATATCATTAAGCTTTAAAAGTACTCAAAATGTACTTTAAAAATACTCAAAAGTACTTTTATAAAAAGTATCGGAGCACAGTAAAAGTACTGGTCTCAAAATGTACCGGAGTACAGTAAAAGTACCGAAAATTGTAACGAACGTAAGTACAAGTACCGGAGTACTTGTACTCCGTTACAACTAGCTCTGGTAACAAGAAAATACCTCCCCCATACACACACATATTTTCTTACAGATGCTGAGCACAAATATTTACTTGTTACATATAACTCTCCTCTTATTTCCAGAGAAAAGATCATTATCTTGACCATTGCATACATACAATAGGCCAGACATTGACATAACTAATAGAACAATAAAACTTACCTTTAGCAGACTTGGCAGCCGCATTCTGCTGTTGCTGGAGTTGTTGTTGCTTGACCTTCGTTCTTGTGGGTCTGGTCTTTGTAAAGGAGTACCCACAATTACATGCCCTCAGAGCAACAGGACACTGAAAAAAATACAACCAAAATCACAGGACAAGACCGAAAAATACAAAAGACTAACAATATTATTACAAAATAGACAGTAATAACTGGAATTATGAAGTACGCCCAATCCATACAAATTACATCGATCATCCAGAAGGAGGAGGGTTCTTTCAACCCCACCTGTCAGGGTCAACCTGTATCTAATAGTATCAGTACAGTGTATAGTATCTAGAAAGAGCAATATAATATAATCGAAGTGACTATTTCTGCGAACATTCAGAGAAATAGTGCCGATCTTTATTTCTCCGAGCGGTTTCCGGCTTCCGGTCTCGTGATTTTTTGCCTATTTGCGAGAGTTCAGCGCCAACTTTCATTCTGCCATTCTGCGAGGTCTGGGAAGGAGCAAATTTTTGGGTCTAGATCTATTCCAATTTTCAAGCGCTAGTCCAGAGATTTTTAGAAGAGTGTAAAAACGTGAAAAAGAAAGGTTTCACAACAGAATGAAATCAAAATTAGAACAGCCCATAAACAACCACAAAAATTAACAAATAAGTAAGGGCATGTGTCCACCTGTTTAACCCTAAATGTGCGTAATTTTTTTTTAAGTACAGGATATTAAAAATTATGGAATCACACACAAGGGGCCTGCCAGTGCCAGTACATGTAATCGGTTTTGGTGGAACGCTCTCACATACATTTAAATCTAAATACATATATTTATATTTAGAATCTAATGAAGGTAGATACATCAAATTGAATGACGTTACACTATACAACATCCCCCCCCCCCCTTTCCCCCAACAAAAAAAGGTAGTGTCAATTGCCACCGAGTGACGTGGTGGCAATTGACAAAAATGGACAGGTAGCGTCAATTGCCACCGAGTGACGCTGTGGCAATTGACAAAAATTGACTTTTTGTCAACTGCCACTGAGTGAAGCGGTGTCAAGTCTGAAAACAACACTATCTTTAGCATTATACATAATGTGTGTCTAATGGGTCAATTTGTTCTCGACTAATTTTATTGGACGAGCTTCTAGTCTAGAGCTATGGTACTAACTTGGCGTGTTTTCAAAATGAGACGTAGGCCTAGATCTAGGCTAGCCTTAGCCAACACTTTGGTGTAGAACCATCACAGGCAATTCTAGAAGTAGAAGGTCACAAACGCACACAAACTCAAGCAGAAATTCACGTTATATCGGGGAACATAAATCGGGGGACGGGGGTCAGGAAAAGGCACACACACAGTACACACACACACAGAGGGACAGAGAGGCAAACGCACAACATCGAGCACTCGAGCACAATAAGCTAGATCTAGATCTACCCACCAACGCAAAAGAGCTCCAATTTACTCAGTGGCAACTGACAAAAAGTGAATTTTTGTCAATTGCCACAGCGTCACTCGGTGGCATTTGACACTAGATATCTAGATCTAGGCCCTAGAAATCTACCTTCATGATGAATATTTAGCTACACAGGTCTACAGTGTGTCCATTTTCTACAACATTTGAATACTATAAATCTAATATCTAGATATCTAGATCTAGATCTAGATATAGATTCTAGATTCTAGTAAGAACATGTTCACACGTGGAGCTAGACTTTAGATCTCTGGAATCTAATTTCTCTTTTTTCCCACCCTCTGAATACACTCATTCATCAGTCAGCACTGGTCAGCGAGTTCAATCGAAGTTCAAACGAACACAATCATCCCTTCTCACCTGCTGGTCACACTCGGGGCATTTCTTTACTACAGTCCTGGACTCTGATCGCTCAACTCGCTTCATTCTCTTGACCATTCCTTTGACACTAGACACTAATTGGTGTGGACGCTACACGTAGATCACAACCTTCTTTGTAAACGAAAGGACTGATTGACTCTTGATGAGTGCAGCCATCGTGTAACCTAATTTTTTCAACGCGTTTTAAAAAATATTTCTATAGTTTTGTGCAAAACCACTCAATCCCTAAAAACAATTATTTCCATTTAAAATGATGTTAATAGGAGCCAAAAATAAGGCCAAGCTTTCAAACTACTGAAGCTTGAACAATTGTTTTTGTGGATTGTGTGTCACTTTTTCTCGCTCGCCAGTTGACGATAATTGGGGATAAACAAAAATTTTGATAAATCCAAAATGCGCATGCGTGAACATACTTTGAACTTGCAAGGCCGAGGTGGCCGAGGCCTAGCCTAGGCCTATGATCACTGAATCTCGTGACCTATGGCCTTTGTTGGCAGGCTGGGTACAGGTATTATAGGCCTAGCCAAGGAGATTAAAAGTAGTTCTAAACTCCTTGGGCCTAGCCTATACTGCCGTCAGCTGACAAAACGCCTTTTTTTCATTTTGGCGCGAAAAAATTTTATTTGATAAATCGATAGTATGACCTGTTACCCAACTTGTGTGAAAAAATCAAAGTGAAAGTGTGACTAGTTTTTGAATAAATTAACATGCAAATTTCAGAAGAACGCCTTTTTTAAATGGTTACGCTGACAAAACGCCTTTTTTTAAGGGTTCGCTGACAAAACGCCTTTTTTTCGCCGCGGCTA